TCTAGAAAATCCCCCTCGTTATCCGCATCGTGCACAAGAAGAGGGAAGAGATAGAGGCAGGAGGCGGCTGTTCGTCCAAGAATCGTCCACAAAAGGTAAGATCCTCCTCACGTGCGTCGCGCTGCAGAAGGTTTATACTCGGAAGCTTCACAGTACATGGATTGATCCATGATGGTCTGTCGTCTTCCGAAGAGGGTAGGGTACTGGGTTAGAACTTACGGGAAGTCGGAGAGGCAGGGTTCGCGGAGGAGGAGGTCAAGCTGTCCCGGCGGTCAAAGCTTGTGCCATAGGGATTGTTGTCTTCGTCGTTCCACATGATGGAGGGTCGAACAAGGAAGGCGCAATATGCGGATCTGGGATGAAGCCTTTGGCGGGCGTGCGGACGGGAGGCTCGTCGCGACAACAAGGCGGTGCGCAGTGAGGTATCGCGATGTGCGGGCGGAGGACGAATGGGGGCGGCGGGGGAGGGGTGAGCTGCGAGTTCGCCGGCATGCACGGATGCAATCGTGGCAGGTAGGGTAGAGCTCTGGGAATACCGATGAACGGTCTTCACTGAGAAGAAGGGCGGTCGTCAAAGGCCTGTAGACGGGAAAACGTGGCCGCGGTCGGAGATGTTGGTTCAAGGTGACCGGTAAGAACGGACGGACCTGGTCAAGCTCCAAGAATGATGTCGCTCCCGAAAGTGAGTGCCTGGCCTGGACGGTGCTGGGTGCAGGTGCTGGGGTTGGGTTGTCCAAGTGCCAATGACGACGCAGATGCAGGCACGGGCCACAGAGCCTGGCTGTGGTCCGTGCGTCTATCACATCCGATAAGAGCTCAGCTCAGGGTCCAACTGTTCACAGCAGCACACCATCATTGCCATGGCATCAGGTCACGAACTTCAGCATCCTTCAGACACAGTGTTGTGCGGTTTCTTTGAATAGGAGTTTTTTTTTTGTTTTTTTTTGTTGGAAATTCCGTCATTCAATGCCCTCATATTGCCTCCACCAAGCTCTTGAAGCCATGTCATGCCGCCTTGCCAGAATCAACGTTTGAATACCTTCAACATGCCATGAGACTCAATCCTCCAGCTCCATGCCCCTCCATTGTACCGATCATGCAGCCCAAAAGTCGCCAGTCGCCCTTTTTCTCCCGGTCTGTCTAGCATTCACGACTGGATGCGCTCCGACTTGCGATGAAACTTGCTGACCAACCCGTCCCTCCTCATAACGACCACCCCCTTGATGGACAGGCACAGGAGCAACAGGGTCAAGTGCCACATCAGTGGCCGTGCAAGACTGCATCCGGGCTTCGTTTGCCGTGAAAGACCTTGGAAGACCACTTATCAGCATTTCCTTCCTGAAACTTGAATTGGGATTGTCAAGGGCACCCACCTTCTTTCATGTGTCCTCCTGGACTTCTCACGGTCTCGCCTCTTGTCTCTCCGCAACTCATCGGGAAGAACCTGCGACTTTCGTTCTTTCACCTGCGTCTTCCACTCACCCGAACGCCTGTCTGTCGGTAAACGAATGCCAACAGCCTCCAGTATCAAAGACATGACCGTGCCAGCTCGGTCATCGGCCTGCCTTCCCAGGCGGTGGTTGTGTGACCGATTTGTCTTTGTGCGTTCAGGTTGTGAACGAGCGCTGGCCACAAATCAATGGCTGCTTAGAATCTCAGCAGTAGGGATGACGAACCGCCTGTGGGTGTGAGCACCTCCATCGGTGAGTTCTGCACCATCGCCGTCACGACTATCCCGAGAGATGGAGACCTGGGTGCTCGGCTTTTCACCGTGTCCGGAGTCACGACTGACGCTGCGGCGGCTTGAATGGCGACGGTGACCGGGCGAGAGAATAGAGGCAGTACCAGAGCCAGCACGAGTTGGTCTATGCGGGGTAGGCAAGACATAGTCGTCGCTGTACACAGTGGCAGCATTCGACTCGGGAGAAAGGGGTTCGACGGGAACTCGGATTGGATAGGCTGTTTCGTGACCATGCTCCTCGGCATGCATCGCGGAGGGCTGGACATTGTGATTGAATTGACGGACCTGAGCCGGGTTGACGCGCTCCTGAGACTCCTGGCGCGAGCTTGCAATGGTTTCTGCGCGCCCAGTCTGCATTCCGAAGAGTCTCATGAACTTCTGGCCGATGGTAGGAGCACGCGGGTAGAGGCCGCCAGGATATTGCTGACCATTGGTCTGACGATACTGGTAGCTCTGGCGCTTCTTCTTCTTGGTAGTGTGTTTCTTGTTCTTCTCCAGGCCTGCTCGGTCCTGAGACTGTTGCTCGGTACCAGGTACGAGCACCGGTTGGATATTAGGCTGGTAGATCGTGGGAGGACGAGAGATCCCCTCTTTGTGTGGGTGAAATAGGAGAGGGGGGTTCTGGTAAATCGGGCCAGTCGGGGTGGGATACGACATGATCAGCGGGAAAAAGACAGGCGGCTCGGCGGTCGGAGGTCTGACACCGGGGAGTGTTGGTAGCGCGTTATCGGTGTAGCGAGAGACGATGGAAGCGCGGCGGCCATCCTCGGGCGACGGCTGCTGGCGGCATCGGGTACGACGCATGGCGATATTGTCACCGTTACGGGCCCATCCGGCCTCTCTGCGGCTAGCTTTGTAGTAGGTGACAGCAAGAAGCAGGGTGAGTCCAATAACGATGCAGCTGATGACAATGCCAAGCTGCTGAGCACCGTTCAGACAGCTCCAACCCGAGCAAGACGCTTGCTTGTTCTCCGAGGCAGGCACGGTGGGGCTGGAGACCTGT